ACGATCTCCCCAAGCATCCGCACTTCCATGTCCTTTGCCAGTTCGTGGTTCTCGGAGAGATACAGATGATAGTCGCGCAGTCCTCGAAGTTCGAGCATCCCATCTAGCAGCTTCTTCAGGTACCGGCGCCGGGGCTCACCGGAAACCATCCCTTTCCAGCCCATATCCACAATGGTCAATGACAGGTTGGGGATCTTGAAGTGCTCGCGGATGAACCGGCGTAGCACCGACCACCAGATTAGGGTCGATTCCTCGGACCGGGGCCCTGTACGGGGAGTACTACGATAGTGAGATGGAAACTTGAGAATCAGGTGCCGCATGAGCTCCGTGGTTGAGGTAGGGAGGTTGTGAAGGAACTGCAGCATGAATTCTGGGTCTTCATCCAAGAAAGCGAATTTGTTACGGGAATAGAATATCTGGCGGGCGTCCCGGTAGAAGTCTTGGCTGACAAGGAAGTAGTTGAGCGGGCTCATAAGGCAGCTGCAGGAGGTCGAAAAAGCTGTGTGACGGCCACGACAGAAACAAATGGCCCCGACAGGAGAGCAGGTCAGGCAACAGTTCATCGAAAGGAAGCTGCTGGGTCTCATGGCTTTCTTGCGATCCTGGAGCGAGATGACACCTCTCAGGCTTTCCACCTTCGGGAGGAATGGGTCTGGATGGTCGACCAGGAGCAGCTCCAAAATCATGAACTGTATCTCCCGGGGAAGACGGAAGTACGGAAACTGAGGCTTGACTTTCAAATTGTCCGTCACCCTCAAGGCAGCACGGCGAATCACCTTCTGGGTGTGTTCCTCATAATTGTGACCAAAGTGGAACGCGCACTGGAGCAGAACTGGGAATGGATTCATCTCACGCATGAGCCTCTGGGCAACTTCCAGTTCGCGCACCTTGCATGTCATGCTGAAATACTTCAGGCTGTGCATTTTAGGATGAGCCAGCAGGCAGAAGCTGATCCAAATCCGTAGAGTGGTCCTGTGGACTCCACCGGCCAGCTTAAGGTAGCGGTGCTCTCTCGGGCTCAGGTCCAAGTGCAAGTAACGCAGACGGTGGAGTCCCCATTCAAATGAGAATTCAAAGGATGTGTAGTCGCCTCTGCTGGCGAGGGGTGCATTGAACCGATTGTGGGAGAAGAAAACTGCGCCGGCCTCTTCACGAGTAGCGCGAGAGAGACTGAAGAGCTCGACAGGCAGTTTCGGATGATTGCAGTCCCGCTCTATCCAGATCCCTGGACTTGGAGCAATATAATGACGATGATCCCCTTTTAGACAGGTACCACCATTGTGCTTTCTGCGTACGGACTCGTATCGGATGTTTATCACACAGTTCCGCAGCAGTCCAGCATACTCGAGGATCTTGACGCGAGCCACATGCGGAAGATCCATGAACGTGATGCGTGGTTTCTGGACGACCGCCCCACTTTGAGCAGCCTGTTTCTCGGGATCGTTCGCGGAGAGCATCCATCCACGCTCAAGAAAAGTAAAGAAGGCGTCTTCAAAGGTAGGGAAATCCCTGGCCGGAACATCGATCGCAGCTACTCAGAACCAGAAGGTCAGTGGGACTTAAAGTTGGCAGAGGAGAAGACACATGGAGGCATCCACGGACCCATGATTTCGATCAGTCGAGATGAATTGTGTCCCAGATACTGCCGGGCAGAACTGAAACTACTTGAGGAAGCCCATATGAGATGGAGTTCGAAGGAAAAGAGGAAGTGGTTGCGGAAGACGAAGTATGGAGGAGGCAGAGATGTGATGCAGAGAAAGCGAAGAACGGACGCGGAGAGGGAACACGGTAAGTCACGTCAGATCCTCAAACTACGTGACAGAGTCAACAGAGACAGCAATGGGGAGATGTCGGACTAGGTGGGCAGAACAACAGAACAGTCCAAACAGTTCAAACGTGAACCCCTTCAACAACGACGAGAGAAGAAGGTGAAAAGGGAAGGGCCCGCATTCAATTCATCACTCCGCCTCGACCTTCACCTTTGGACTTCCCCCGCCATCGTCACTCTTGATCTGCTGCGGGGCAACATCACTTTCCGCCTTGAATACCGTCGTCTTCTTTACTTTGGAAGCCATTCCTCGAATCTCGCTCTTGCACAACTTCGTCCCTGCGAGGTCACAGTCGCCGCACCGCCGGCCGATAGGTAAGCAGACCGTCTGCCCCAGTCCAACCAGCAGCTTGTTGATCTCATGCCATTTGTCTTTTGGCAGCCACGATTCCAGAGCCTTACGAGTCTCCTCCGGATTCTTCGTCTTGTGCCATCCCCAGAGGTTGGTAATACGGTGCACGTGGACGTCGACGCCAATGCCTTCGTGCTTGCCCCAAGCAGCGCTCATACACAGGAACGCCATCTTCGGCCCGACTCCCGGCAAGCTCATCAACTCAGTCGGCGTCGACGGGATATCGGAGTCGTACTGATCGCGGAGAATAAGGGCAGCAGCTTTGATATACTTGGTTTTGTTGTTATGGAAGCCCACGGTGCGAATCAGCTCGTTCAACCGTTCCGGCGATACGGCCAGGATATTCTCCAGGTTCAGGGTGCTGTCCTGCATAGGCTCTAGTGCCTTGCGATCATCGTTGTCGTCGTCGGGCTCGACCTTGATGGCAACTGGAGGTCCATCCCCAAGCTCCGTGTGCAATCGTTGCATGGCCACGGCCGTCACCGTATCCTTGGTCTGCGAAGACAGCATCAGGGCAATGAGGGTCTGGAAGCGGCGATCTCGAGGCGACGATGCACGCCAGTAAAGCTCAGCGCAGCCCATAGTGTCGACTGGGGCGGTTGGGTTGTCCTCGCGCATCTTCTTCACGGTGGCATAGATGGCTTCCCAGTTAGACGGAGGCTCTACCGTGTAGGTGCCATCCTCGACCTTAACCTTCCGGGCAGGCACGCGGCGGGATCTGGCCGCAGGCTTTTCAACAACCTCCTCTTTGACAGTGGTTTCAACTCTCAGGGATGTCTGGGTCGCATCTGCAGGCGTGCGCGCAGAACGAGTCCGCGAGCTGCGGGCCGAAGGGGCGCTCAGTGCGCTCTTCCGTCGCTTGGCGGGGGGCTCCAAAATATCCTCGATATCGACAGTTGGGACCGATGACAGCGACGACGTGTCATCGTCGTCGCTCACTGCCTCTGCAGACGCAGACACAGATGCAGATGCAGACGCAGGCGCATTGGAGCCACTGTTGAAGGCAAAACTGCGCAGGACACTGGCATGAGCAGATGAGCTGCGTGTTTGCCGGCGGCCAGGGGGCGACAGGGCCTGGACGACTCTGGCCGTCTCCTTGGCCGTGCGAGAAGTACGCATGGATGTAGCGCTGCTGGCTTTCAAGATGAAAGATGAATGATGGATGTGGTTTTCGTTTTCACATGAAAAGAGGGTGGCTAAGCATCAATAAAATTTGTTAGGGGCCCCATCGGTCCAAGGAATGCCCAGTCCAGACCACGGGAAGAAGACTGGCACCCGGCGCTACTGAATGGGGAAGACCCACGACTTGAACCTCGGTATTTTCTGTCCGCTTCAACTCCATTTGAGTGCAGTGCCAGCCACCCGCTGTGTCACATTTTGGAGAGATGTGTCTATTGGTGAGAGACTGTTTTTGAGAGACACGCAGCGATCGCAGAGTCTTGTTTTCCCTTTCAATAGAACACGGTCATTTTCACACTCCCTCCACACGCACTAAGGGCAAACCCCTCGCTCAGTCAGCGACGCTCAGTCAGCGACGCCGAGCATTCCACCACCTTTCCGGCCACTCACCAACCACGCCAGCCAGTCAGCCAGCCAGCAGCTCGTTCTGCACATGAAAAGGCTGAGACAATGGCAACGCACAACACCACCCAGCGTCTCCTCCGGGAACTGAAAGACTACACCAACAACCCCAATGAGGCCCTTCTGCATCTCGGGCCCATCGAAGAGGACGACCTCCTCCACTGGGAAGCCGTCCTGAAGGGTGTAAAGGGCACTCCATACGAAGGTAAACCCTCATTCCTCCCTCTCCCTCTCCCCCGCGCCCCTCCGCATTTCCGACAGCCCTCACTCGGCTTCCAACATCTAAGCATCGCAATAGGCGGCCTCTGGTCCCTCCACATTACCATCCCCCCGTCCTACCCGCTCACCCCGCCCACCATCCGCTTCACCACCCGCATCAGCCACCCCAACATCTCCTTCACCACCGGCGAGATCTGCCTCACCCTCCTGACGACCGAGCACTGGAGCCCCGTCTACACCCTCTCCTCGACCCTCACCGCCATCCACCAGCTGCTGACGGATCCGCGCCCGGAATCGCCGCTCAACGTTGACGTCGCCGCTCTGCTGCGCGACGGCGATATCCCCGCGTGGGAGAGTGTGGTGCGGTTCTGGACGGAGGAGGAGCGGTGGGTGCCGAAGTAGACAGTACACCGTGGACTGAGGGCGGTTTATGGGGTATATACTTTTTGGATAGGAGAGGGGCTTGGTTGAATGATCGCATCAAGCAAGAAGAGATTCTGCGCGTTCATGGATGACCGAATCGTGTCCGTTCCGAGTGGGTGGACCTGAAGAGATAGGGGTGCGCGGACTATCACTATATCCATGCCTATATATATGCATTTATGCTCTCTTCATCGGGTAGGTCTGTACATAGGGAGCTAGGTAGCGAGCTAGCTAGCCTGCCCATCCCATGCAGAGTGACAGCACGCAAGTGGAGCAAGCCATGTTATTACGTTCAAAATACCCATTTCCACAGGGCACTACAATCGATAATTTTTTGGTACCTCCAATCCAATACAACTGAGAGAACAAAACAGTCTCAAATTATGTCCGATTGATCCATGATCCAGGAGTCACCGCCAAAGGCAACCCTCCCGGAATTCAAGGACCGAAGACAATCTGTCTAAATTATGCACATGCTTTGAACAACACCCACCAATCCATCCACCCCCTGAAGTATCCCTCCTTCCTCCCCAACCCAGGGGTAAAAAAAAATTCAGTATGCGCTAAAGGAGAGACAAAATGTGGGAATACGCCAGGGCTAAATTTCACAAAGTAATGTATGCTTTGCCAGGTTCATGTGTGTGCATGTGTTTTGTGTGCATGAAAAGGATCGTAACATGGTGAGAGGTATCATGGGGGCAGCTTCAGAAGTTTTCAGAAGTTAAAAAAAAAAAAAACGCCGGAAAATGCAATTGCTGGGAGAAGGACTATTCAGTGGGTCTGCGGTTTTTGGGGGCGTTTTACAGAGCCATAGCCACCACGGCCGCTCCACCGACCATCACGAACAGCTCCCGGCCCAGACCGTGGGTCGCGGCCCCGTTGTCGGTCTGCAGACTCGGGGAGCTGCGGGTGCCGGTGGCGACCTCGTGGGCGGTCTCGGTCGGGTGAATGACGGTAATGGCGGTGACGGTGCTCTGCTGGCCGTTGGGCAGCGTGGTGGTCAGCTTGTAGGTGGAGGTGTAGGGGGTGGTCTTTGCGCTGGTGGTGGCGCTGTCGTCTGTGGTTTGGGAGTCTTGGGTTGTTGAGGAGGAGGTTGTGGAGGTGGTCGAGGTGGTGGTTTCGAGGGTGGTGGAGGTTGAGGTCGAGGTTGAGGTGGCGGATGTGGTTTTGGATGAGGAGGAGGATGTGGTGGTGGAGGTTGTTGAGGTCGTGGAGGTCGTGTGAGCTGCGGTAGTATGTGAGCTGGATGAAGAAGTGGTACTTGTGGTAGTGGAAGTAGCAGAAGTAGAGGTAGTAGTAGTAGTGGCCGCGACGGTGGGGATCGTGGTACTAGCTGCGGTGGTGTGAGAAGAGGACGCGGACGAAGATGTGGACGAAGTGGACGCAGAAGTAGTAGAGGTCGACGTCGCCGTGGCAGACGACGAGGACGAAGAGGTCGACGAGGTGGTCGCCGCAGATGTAGAAGAGGAGGAAGAAGAAGAAGAAGAAGAGGAGGACGTGGACGGAGACGAGGAGCTAGACTCACTGCTACTAGAGCTCGACTCACTGCTGCTAGAGCTGGACTCACTGCTGCTAGAGCTAGTCGTAGGTCTCGCAGCGGTCGTGCGGGCAGCAGTGGTCGTAGGAGCGGCGGTGGTTTCCGCAGCAGTTGTCGGCTGTTCCGCACTGCTGGTGGAACTTTCAGCCTGCGAAGCGGTGGTCGCTGCCGCGGCGGCCGAAGTCGTCGCTGCCGGCTCCGAGGCCTGGCTCGTCGTCTCTACCGCAGCCGTCGAGTTGCCATCCGCTCGCTTGACCAGGTTCAAGTGTTCAGCCAACGACGAGTCATCCTGCTGGAGAGCTGCGGCAGCCTCCTCGTCAGACTGGAAGATGCCGTGGCTGAACCTCTGGAACAAATGCAGAGCCTTGTGGAGGGAGGTCTCTTCGATGCTGTCGGTGACCGACGGGGCGTCGGATTCGGATTGATCGGCGGCCGGGGCTGCTATCGCAGATAAGGCGATCAGGGATAGGAGAAGCAGTTGGAGCAGGCGAGTTGACAACGCCATGGCGCCTCAGTTGGAAATTCAACGTCTTTATTGATCGGGTGGGATTTTGGAGTTGAAGTTAAAGAAACGAAAGGTTCAGGGGATCGAAGCGAGAGAAAAAGTGGTCGTTCAGTTGGTAGGAGTTCCCAAAAGGGCAATACTCGGAGGTCGATGAAGAGGGGAAGAAAGCGGAAGCGGACGAGAGCGGCCAGGCAGGCTGATCTTAAGCGGCGAGGGATTGCAGAGAAGTACAGTATGAGTAAGTACGGAGGACTGGGCTGAGTCCAGTACAGTGCGGTGCGTCCTGCAACAGTGGGCTGGCAATAATTGATTATAGTAACGGTTGGCAGGTGATTGACCAACTGCAAGCCACCCGAGATGAGAGTGAAACAAATGGCCGACAAGGCTTGTTCTGCTGCGCCGCCAGTTAATAAATAGTAGCGGAGAAAAGAGCAGAAAATAGCAGAAAATAGCAGAAAAGAAAATTAGAGAGAGCAGGAAAAAAAGAATACGTACTAAAGGTCCTAAAGAAAAACAAGGCAGGTCTAGCTCGGACTTGCGGAGCCAGTAAGTGAGTGAGTGGATCAGCGAGTGGAAAGACGCTAGAAGATCGAATTTACAGGATGGTGCCTTTTTTTTTGTTTGCTATCATCATGGAAAGAATGGATGAAGCAACAACATCCAGGAAGTAAAGGCATTTTAACAAGAGAAGAGCGATAGAGAAAGAAACAAGGTTACCCAGATGCATCTTGCACCATGGTTCTACCCAAGTGCGGCGATGCACAGCCTATCCCCCCCCGGTCGCAATAAAATGCCCTTAAAAAAGCAACAAAAGTATCCGAATGCAATCCGTGGGAGTCATGGCTTCTCGACCGATTGTACGAGGTCAACGTCAGCCGCGAACACAGGCAATTGGACCAATGCACACACCAGCTCGCTTGGATTTCCTGCTATCTACCTATTACCTTCAGAGAGGGTGTAAGACGGCAGCCATGCATCTTTGGCTTTGGTTATGTGTCTCACAATCTGTGTGTACACTACCTCGGACAGACACTGATTGGCAGGCAGACTGTTTTGACGATTGGTGTCAGAGTATCATGGTGTCATGGTGTCATCGCAAACAGAGGTCGGCATTGAATTTAACCTCACTGGCTTGAAAGGGAAGAAGAATGTTTCAGTTGTTGCGGCCAGTCAGACTGGAGCGGACGATCCCGACCGCTGAGACAAATCCGAAGAACTACAGGTCGATAAGCAGAAGAATGACAACACCATGAGATCAGTCGTGTTGCGTTTACCCCACCTTACTCTTCACAACCGAGATTTCCCTCAACCCTCGGAGTTGAGCACATGCGTTTCCGACAGAGTACGGAGTAGAAAGAATCGAGTTCTAGGGCAGAGTGCTTAGGATCGATGTTTTCTTTTTTTTTCTTTTTCTTTCAACAGAGGAGTCTTTGTGCTGGGTGTATCAGGCACCAGGGGAGGAGGGAAGCCCGAACTGGGCCACTTGGTCCGTTCCTCTGCCACCGTTCGCGGACTATCGGCACTATCATCCAGGTGGCCAATTTGCCAAGGGAGTGTGCCTGACCATCTCTGGTACGGTACCTGTCGATTGCTTTCCAGCTCCCTTTCCTTGTTTTACGTCAAGGATCATTCAGCCTGTGGATAAACTGATTCCCTTTGAGTCTTGAGGACTGTTCGCTGCCTCTCCACCTTGCAGTATCAACAGACCGGCTGTCATTGTTACAGCTTCCCGAGCGCCAAAACTGCCCTCCGCATCCGTTGAAGGGCTAAAGGGGCTTAGCTCTTATTAGGAGGTAGTCTTGGCTCTAGTCCCAGAGCGGTTAGCTAGACTGGATCAGATCTGCTATTCTGGGCAGCGTAAGCAGCAGTGGCCACCTCTGATTGGCTCCAATCCAGCGCAGTGAGGCTGGCCCTTACCGGGATTGGACTAGTGCCCCTATCCTTGTGCTAATCTTGGAGACAGGCAGTCATTTTGCCTCTTCTACCAGACACAATACGAACAGAAGTTTGTTTTCGACCAAACGGTCAAGAATGAAGCCAAAGTCGGGCCGTTCGGCCAAATAGTCCATACTATAATTACCGGACAATTTGAAGCTAGCCGGCTCTACTCGCCGCAAAAAGAATGCCGACCTTCGACGATGACGTCCACGACTACTCCATGCAGGACATGAAAGTGAAGATCAGAACGAAGCCATCGAGTGAACTGTGGTTGTACCACTTTCTTGATAGCAGGTGGTCCCCGTGTTTGACTCCGGGTGTTACAAATGATTGCGGGTTAATCCATGGGGAGACGACGACGACGACGACGATGATGACGATGAACGACTCAAAGCACACTGTGCAATACAACAACAGATAACGATCTCCATCCTGCCCGGATCATGCTTCAAGCTCTCTGAGACAATGCCATCCAAGCGCCCCATCCCGCCACCTTCCCCTCCATCGCACGCATAATCTCCTCGATCCTCGCCGGCGAACTGAGACCCTGCTGGTCCAAGGTCTCATTCAAGGCCACCAGCTCGAAGAAGTACCGATGCGGCCCTTGGCCCCGAGGCGCCAGCGGGGCGAAATACACGCCGTTTCCTCCATTCTGGCCGTACTTGAATCCACCCCGCAGCATGAACGGCTCGGCCTGCGACTGGTCGATGAAGAAATCCGGGTTCTGCACCCCGGTTGTCGCGCGATGGATCCCATAGAACAGGCCGTGGATGACAGCTTCGGCGGTCGGGGAGTCGGGGTCCTCACAGAGGAGGATATACTCCTGGACGGTCGTGCCGGACGGATAGGGCCAGGACAGGGCGGGAAAGTTGCCTGCGCCCTCGCGCGTGTGGTCGATGTCAAGGTAGGAGCCGGTGGGGCCGAACTCGGGCGATTCGAGGAGGATGGAGGGCCATGGGTGGTTGGTGAAGGCTGGCTGGCTGATAAAGAGTTTGGACCATTGACACCAGACGGTGCTGACGAGGGTGATCCAGATGAGGGGGTAGGTGGTGTAATGCATCTGGCTGTACGGTCAGTGTCTGCAGTACGTGCTAGGTGCTTGGAGGCTACTCACACTTGCTTGCTCGTTTGAGCTGGTATGAGTAGGTGCAAGTTGAAGGGGTGACGAGAAAGAATGATCGAAGTTATGTGGTTGGCGAGGTGAGGATACTATTGTCGCTTTTCTGGACGCTCTTCTGGAGGAGGTTGCCAGGCTCAGGTGGCCATCTGGTGGACTCATTCCTGGTTCTACAACCTCGAGTGTAGGAAGTCCTCGTCAGGGAAGGAGCCACCCGGCACATAGTAAACTCGAGGAGCAAGAGCACTGAGTCTGTGTCTCCGAGCGAGGTGAGTACTATGGTGGTGCTACCTGCCGGATCATGGTGCAGCTGCCTCAACAATGGCAAGATGCCTTTGCCATCACAGTCGGTGCTTAGCAGCTCAAGGGACCGCTGACAACAGCCAGTGCATTACATCCTTCATCCTCCCCCGGCTTTTCTTGCACCAACCAAGCTAGGATAAGTATCCCTCGTGAAAGAAGTCGTACTGCAAGTAGGTGCTTCGCTTGATCACAAGACTGTCCTGTCAACTGCCAGAGCTGAGGAAATCATATAGAGATGCCTATCCATTTCTTAAAAGAGTACTCTGTATACCCAGCATATTAGGTTGCAAGCAGCATCCCTTAACAAAATCACACCCCCTTTCCGCTCGCGAGTCAATATACGATCGGTATAGTTCAGACGGTTTCACGCGGCGACTTGGCAAACTCACGCTCCTCGGTTGTCGAGCTCTATCCCAGCTTGGCAATCGTCTGCGCCTCAATGGATTCACAGCATGTCGTAGAACATCTTTGAGTCGTTGCGAGTACCTTAGTAGTAGCCTACGCTCGCTCCACTCCTGATCATTTGTGCGCGACTGGGCGGTCACGAAGAACTTCAGATCCTCTAGAGAACCAGAACATCGATGCCGCGAGAAACACAATCATGTACAATCCAAGTATTTCTCCCTTCTATTGCACCAAAATTCTCAAGCCTCCTGTCTAGCTAGTATATATCTCGCCTCGCACGCGAACACAAGTAAACCTCACCACCATCCAACTTCACTAACACCATAAATAAACACAATCAAACCCAAGAAGCAAGAAACATGCTGCCTAAACCTCCCTCATCAAGTCTTCAGGTGTAATGGCAACCCACCGCGCCGAGACGGTCTCGACCAACTAGCCGAGTCCCGCCGAGCTCGTTATGTCTCCGGCCAAGGATTCCGCAGTTGAGATTTTAGGCGAGCTATCGATTTCCAAAGGAGATGTTGTCTTGGGAGATTCTCTCGGCGAAGGAAACCAGATTGAACTCCAACTCCTGACCTCTTGGGTTGGGTCTTAGTGAGAACTTCGTTGTTCTGCTACCTTGTACAGTATCAGGTCTTCATGGGGTTGATGGTCGGTCGGGTTGGGGGCTCGGCTAAGGGGACTACTAAGATAGACAGGTACGGTTACCGGTCGCGGGGGGGGGGGTCTAGAGCGAGGGTTGGTGGGACCGTGCTTCGATCTGTGCGTTGACGTCAGTGTTAGGGTTTTGTGTTTGGTTTGGATGAGTGGGCGTTTTTTTCTGGGTGGTGCGGAATTGGAAGTGTCTGTATACCTAGTTGTGGGTGAGATTTATCTCATGTTATTTTGTATTGAGTGTTGGATTGATGAGGAAGAGTTGAAGGGGTCGGTGATAGACCACTCCCGACCGAGTTCGGAGGGAGGGAATACTAGGTATCCTACGGAGTACACATCGGCAGAGTAACTAGTTCGGCTATTACGAATATGTCGAATTACTGTACTGTATATAGTCCGGTCACGTATAAAAAAAGAAGTTACGGCGTATACTGATCCAATCTTATCTTGATGTCGGTATTCTGCTCCTGAGATGTCTGCCTTACTTTCCTACACATACTTTAAGGGCATCGGTGCATCGAGGGATCGAGGGATAACCTCTCCTTCCAGACGCACAGATGTCAATCGCGACGAAAACAAACATCCCCAATCTAGAGATCATGTGTGAATGTGCAGGGAAGTGATTCGGTTGGCTAAAATTAGCGAGGGGACTGCCTACCTAAAATTAGCGGAGGGTGGGTTGAGTGGAAGGGAATCTTGGGTGTTGTGTTGGCATGTCTCAGCTGGTGCTTCTTGGCTGAGTGACTGTACCTGCCTGCCCTTCATCCATCCAACGAGTGGCACAGCCGAAAGACTTGGGGGCTCTGAGACAGAACACAAAGTCGTCGTAACCCCCCAAAGCCTATTCTTCTGGGCGTTTGCTCGGCCATCGACGGAGGTATCTGGGGACACCACAAAGAAAAATTGAAGAGAAAGGGGGAGAGAAAGGAACCAATCCTCGAGTTGAACCAGCTCGGAGATGATCTGCTTCGCACGGCAGGGAAACGGGATGGCTGCGTTTTGGCTGCATCGATCGGTAGGTGCCTTGAGGGAGAGGGGGGAGGGGGGATCTTCCCCTTTTATATGTTAACACAATTAGGATATTCGGAGAGGCTGAATTGTTTGATGTGGTTGTTAGTGCCTATAAGGCCACCAGTTGAGTAGTGAATATTTTGCAGGGTGTGGTAGTACAGTATGTCTAGTACAGTGCAAAGTGCAGTATGTCAAGCCACTTCCAGTGAGCACTGCAGGTCAGGCAGGGTCTCACTTTCGCTTTCCCGCCCAGGGACTGGTTTTGTGGCCGGACCCACTGGGGGCCCCTCCTTCTTTCCTTGGCCCGGCCGGGGTTCCAGGGCTTTTCAGGGCTCCTCAGGGCTCCTCCATCCCCACTCCACCCATTCTTTGCGCCCTTCCCAGGTACGAGGATGTCATGGTCGAATCAATGGGTCGTTGGAAAATACACGGGTATATACAGTCTACATACTCATAGCACAAATAATGATAGTAACAAAACATCAATCCTCTTCTCTTTGCTGTTTTAAGATATTCACCGAGATATCCATGATAACAAATAACAGTGGCACACAGTGAAAACCCACGCCTGTCCTATGTATAGGCCAGTCCGTCCCTGGCTGGACCCTGATCCTGCAGTCCTGCGCTGGGGGCGATCTGACGATCGAGACAGCTGATAGGCACCCGGTAGACCCGCCCAGCAATTTCCCACACATACTTGCAATACCTTGGCTGCCTCATCCGGTAATCAAGGCACTGGGAGACATTGTGTGACACGCGCTTCCTGGTGGCAACCTGGGTTATCCTTACTGTTTTGAATCTTTGTATGGGGCAGACGGCTCAGGGATGGCTGACACTGCCTGCCTGCTTTAAGGGTCCTTCGACCCTGCACCACCACTTCCTTACTCTTTCGATCTCTCTCTTTTCTCCTCCTCATCATCTTCTTCCCCCTGCCTTGGGTTCTTTCCTCCGCTATCCCTTCAATCGTTCGCTTTTTTTTTCTCCTCCCATTTCAAGTCACTCGTTCAATCTTATTGACCTCTTCTCGCCTACTTTCTATAGCCGCCAATTCTTCCAAGGCTCTAACCCTCCCATTAACTAAATCATACTCTGTGACATAGCAGCTCTCCATTCGTTCCCGGGACTCACCCACCATCCGGCCTGTTTCTTTCCATCAAAGCAACTCGACTCACATAATCCATCAACATGAAGGGCTACGCTATCGCGACAGCCATCACTTTGGGCGCCTCCACCGCTTTGGCTGCTCCTAACCTCAAGGCCCGTGACGACGTGACTCCCATCACCGTCAAGGGTAACGCCTTCTTCAAGGGTGACGACCGGTTCTACATCCGTGGTGTCGACTACCAACCCGGTGGCTCGTCCAAGCTGGCCGATCCCATTGCCGATGCCGAAGGCTGCAAGCGCGACATCGCCAAGTTCACCGAGCTCGGCTTGAACACCATCCGTGTCTACTCCGTCGACAACTCCGCGGACCACGACGAGTGCATGAACGCCCTGGCAGATGCTGGCATCTACCTCGTCCTCGACGTCAATACTCCCAAGTACTCTCTCAACCGCGCCGACCCGAAGCCCTCCTACAACGATGTCTACCTTCAGTACATCTTCGCCACGGTCGACAAGTTCGCCAATTACAAGAACACTCTCGCCTTCTTCTCTGGAAATGAGGTGATCAACGACGGTCCCTCATCGAGTGCTGCCCCCTATGTCAAGGCGGTTACGCGTGATCTTCGCCAGTACATCCGCAGCCGCAAGTACCGTGAGATCCCTGTCGGATACTCTGCTGTATGTAGTCAAGTCATATCACGATGAAACGAAGAGCACGGAAAAACTGACCAGAGATATGTTTCTTTAGGCCGATATCGACACGAACCGTCTCCAGATGGCCGAGTACATGAACTGCGGTACCGACGATGAGCGCAGCGACTTCTTCGCCTTCAACGACTACTCTTGGTGTGACCCGTCTTCCTTCACCACCTCCGGCTGGGATCAGAAGGTCAAGAACTTCACTGGATACGGTCTTCCTCTCTTCCTGTCCGAGTATGGCTGCAACACCAACACCCGCAAGTTCGAGGAGGTCAGCTCCTTGTACAGCACCGACATGACGGGCGTCTACTCCGGTGGTCTCGTCTACGAGTACTCGGAGGAGCCCAGCAACTACGGTCTCGTCCAGATCAAGGACGGCAAGGTCAGCACCTTGGATGACTACGATGCTCTCAAGTCTGCTCTGGCCAAGACCAAGAGCCCCACTGGCGACGGTGGCTACAACAAGACTGGTGGCGCCAACCCTTGCCCTGCGAAGGATTCTCCCAATTGGGATGTTGAGAACGACTCTCTTCCTGCTATTCCCGAGCCCGCCAAGAAGTACATGACCGAGGGTGCTGGCAAGGGTGTGGGATTCTCTGGCTCCGGTAGCATGAACGCTGGAACTGCTTCTACCAGCACCGCCACCCCTGGATCTGGCTCCTCCTCCTCAAGCAGTGGCTCTAGCTCTTCCGGCAGCGGAACTTCGACCAGCTCTCCAGGCGCTGCTGCCGGCCTGTACGTGCCCCACCTGACCATGACCCCTGTCA